ATAATTACATTGAACCTTATGGGAAAATTTGCTTCGGGTCGCGACCCGAATTGGTCGCGACCAGAGTCACAGAATGAATTAAGTTCGTAAACCGAGGTATTTTGTTCTTAATGTATTTGGTTAGGTCAGGTGTGTTGTGTAGTACTGCTGCCATGGATTCTTTCACTAGTTTTGGGTCTATGGATGTAAAGAGTGCTGTGACATTGAATGAAACCATAATTTCATCTTCATCTATTTTTAGGTCTTTGATTTTTCTGGCGGCACCATAGTGGGGAGTTGATAGAATATTCATTCCCCTCTGTGAGATGTCCAAGCCTTTTTGTAAGTTCTTTCACTATGTTGGGGTCCCTGGTAATGATACAATTGGATGAAGAGGTATGTCAGGCTTATGTATTTTGGGGCGTCCATAGAAACGTGGGAGGATGGATCCACTGCTTTTCATCCCCCACTGTTCTTCTTTTGTGATTTGACCTTTCATGGTGACGTTGTTAAGAATTCCCTTGTTGTCTAGTTTCAGTACTGGGTTTCTGTTTACTGGGATGTAGGTTTCTTTGTCCTCCAGTAATTCTTTGGCTTTTTGTACATATTGTGATCTGCCCATGATAACCATGGTTCAGCCTTTGTCTGCTGGGAGGATGGTGATGGTTTGGTCCTTCTTAAAAACCTAAAGAAAACCTGCTCTGTCCTCTGCTTTGAGTTGGTGCTGATTCTGTGTTCTCCTGGCCTGTGATATAATTGTCTTATGTTTTCTTGAGTCTCTGTGGCAAGTCCTGTAGCTTTAAATGCTGCTTCTAAGGCTGCAAAGAATTCTAACTGGTTAGCACTGTCTATGTTATAGTCGAGGCCTTTCTGGAGAATATTGTGTTCTGCAGTGGACAGTGGCCATCTGGACAAGTTGACTATCCATTCAGGTTCAGGTACCTCTTTGCTTCTGGGGTTTAGCTCGAGCAGTTTGGTTTGGAGTTTTGTTTTCCTTTTTTCAGGTTGTCCTGAGGATGTAGTCTCGATGGTGGTTGTCAGTCTTTTTGTGTGTTCTGAGGTTTGTTCCAGTTGCTTCTTGAGGTTGTCTATGGTGTGCTGATATTTGTTTAGTCTGAGGTGAGCATCCATGATCGTTAGCCGCATTATTTTTCGGCTGCTTTGTTGAGCTATTTTCCATCCAACTGTGCAGTTTACTGGAGGTTTGTATCTGACACTGGTGGTCAGGGCATGTTATTGTAGGCATTCATGTAAAAAGAATAGTTATTCCTTGGTGGAAGTTTGCCCACATGCAAATTTCTCCCATTTGCATGCTTTCTGAAGCATTAGATGCCCATATGTGGTACCAGTAGAAGAGAATACAGTATATGTAGCTCAGGGCTGAACTGTAGAGTCCTTGGTGTTCTGGTGCTCTTGATGCTTATGAATTGATCTTCCACCTGCTTCTTTTTCTGAGCAGATGCACAAGGGTCAAGGAATTGCACACAGCATTGCATTCTTTAAATATATCCCCATCCCTCATATCATATCATCAATTTCAACATGGTCAGAAAACAATGCAAACAATTTTCATACAGGAAATTGGCTGATACTCACAGGAAACTCCAGAAGTGGAGCAACACTAGCAAACAGTTGCAGCACAAAAGGCTTACGATGTAGAATGTAAAACTGACGGCAGGCAAACTCAATTGCTTGACGCAGCTGTGGATTACTCTCATAGTCAGCATATACCTGGGAAACGAGAAAACCCTTAGGAGTTCTGATTTGTTAACGACAGGCTGAACCGTCATCTTCAAAAGGTGCACCATATCTCAAAGCAGTCATGATAAAGAATGAAAGGGGCAAGTCAGTGCAAGGAGCAATAAGGTCAGCAAAGGACTTTTTGGAAAGTTTGACCTGGCAGGAGGGCCTAATGGCTAGTTTAGGCCTGTCGGTTCTCTCTGCTAAGAGGCTCACCTGCAGCATAGTGGGAAGGATCCACTGGTACCCACTGAGAGAGAAGAGGTGGTTGAAATGTACAGCGGTGTTGATCACAGTAGCAGCATACTGCCTCAACAGGGCACTGTCCTCCGGGTGCAGGATCAGGGCTCCATTGAATACATTCAGGAACAGCATGATTTCGTCCCCCCAGGGAAATTCACTGGGCATCCCCAGAAACATCTCCTCTAGCAATTTAATCCATAGGCTTTTCTGAAGTGTATCCAGACCAAAGAGTTCCTTGCCAGCTAGGAGAACAAGGACAGCAACGTCATACTGAGATGCAGCAGCTTATTTAAAGAGAAAGAGCAGAGCTTCCTAAGAAAATCTCCAGAAGCATCCATAAATTAATGTATAAAAAAATAGGGCTTGCTGCATTAATTAATTCTAGGTCACTAGATTCTTGTTATATTTTTCTGATCTGATAATAACCTCATTCTGTACTATTAACCATTATGTTGATGGTATCTATGGACATTTAATTGTATCTAAGCAACAAAATTACACTCTTGTTTGTGGTGGTTCAGTAGAATATCAGTAAAAGGTTTTCCACATGGTCAGACTTGGTTAGTACTTGTAGAAGATGGAGTCAGTAAATCCTAATAGACTAGACTGGAAAGTAAAAAACATCTTAGAAGAGGTTAATGGCAAACCAATTCTATACTACTGTCAAAAAATGTCTATATAGCCACCTGGAGTCAAGCTCAACTTGAGGGAGATTTAATGATACCTTGTGGATCATTGAAGAGTGAGAATTCTGCATCAATGGCACTACGGGGGAACGAGGGCAAGCGGAGAAGGTCCTCTTGCAGCAAAGATACATGGGATTGCTTGTGAGCCACAGGAATCTTCTGAGTCAGAGAAATGAGAAATAGCACTCGACCCACTTCTTCTAACTTGCGGGTAAATACCTAAAAAGACAGCCAGACAATGTTTTGAATAATTGTTGATTATCCAAACCCAAACAATAATTGTTATCAAGTTATCATGCATTATCCTTGACAGCTGTTTGTATTATACACAATAATTGCTCATCATGATGAGGAGAGTGACCATATTACAAAGATATATGAGACGCACAAACTGGAGGAAAGAGGAGTTGAGAACTGTGAATAAGTAACCAACTTTAGTCCCATGCTCTATGAGCCATCACTAAGAACCATCCTAATAAATAAATAATTAGTAATAAATACTCTACATGCAGAACAAGGATCTGAAGCAGATAATCTGGAGTGGAAAACAGAATGGAGAAATTATCATAATTAGATGGAATATGTTAATGTAAGTTACAAGTGTTTTGAAAAATAGAGACTGAGTATATATATATATATATCAAATATGTATCTTGTAGCAACAACATCTAAGATACTACATCTCCCAAATAGCTGTGGGCTAGCCCAAAACATATCCAAGAAATTTTTCCTCACTGTGATGGGAATGACTCTCATCTGGCCCAAACCTATCCACCCATAATGGAACTTTAAGCCCATTTTTGAATGGAATAGAAGGAAATCAATATGTAAATGGACCAGTGCATCCCAAAACTGTTTTGAGCTGCCCCATAATATGCACCCACAAATCCAAGAGACTGTCCTAGGGATCTAGGTCTAGGAATCCTAGTTTCATGATAGGACAATATCTTATTTGGTTCAAAGCTTTCTGTAGCTCATAGCTGTTAAGGCATAATGTATCTACAGTACATCTTCCCCCCCAAATATAGAAATGAGTAAGCTTGTGGCTTCTGCACCACCAAACACCTTTCGGACCATCCCAGATCATCTACCCATGTAATATTCTGGTGAGAATGCATCGTTGTGATGTTTATTGTAAAAACTGTCTGAAAGGTGACATACCTGTTTTTGAATGAGTTCTTGCCCCTTTTCTGGGTGCATGTGTACCAGATTCAGTTGGGGAGATACCGATCTACGAAATGGGTAAATATCACGGACATAGGTCTGCGGTATAATGAAAAACAAATTCTGTATTTTATAAATAAATTGCACTTCTAGTACATTAGCAATTGCGTTTTTAGGAATAGTAGTACTCTTCAGTAGTAGATGGGCTCTTATGGTGTAGTGGAGGAGAAAAACCTCTCAGCTCTATTTTAGAGATGTGGTATTTGTCATGGTGTCAGATCACTGATGGACAAGCAACCCTATGACTGCTTCCCTTGGTCTAGCAAGGGAATGAAATTGTACTGGAGATAGGAATTTGCTGATCTCTTTGCACACAGCCCTACTTTGGGTGTTAATCTCCATCTTCACAGTGAGTGGATGGTTTCCAAGAAAGGAAAGAGTGTTGGTAGATTGGAATAGTATTTGCTCTCTATTGGTGGTGTTGCCTGAAAGAGATCCATGTAGGAGTCATTATGAAATTGCTGCAGATGAGAACAGAGATGAGAGAACAGCCCACTAGATGTTTGGGAAGCCTCCTCAGCAGATTCACACTGAGAGAAAGGATCTTGCCAAGAGGGTGAAATTAGGAAAAGGAGCTAACGTGGTTAGGGATATTAGACTAGGCTTCCTTTTGGTATGTTCTTGAGGTCTTGGGATTCTGAATACCCTCCTCAGAGGTGAACATAAGAGATTATAAAACGATTGAAACTTCTATAGTTTCCAATACCAGCTGCCTTAATCTGTTAACATTCAATGAATGGTTTTAATATTTATGTTGGATAACTTGTTACCATGCTCCATTTGTGTTAGATCTTACTAATTAATTCAATAGTTATTGTTTTCTATGCACCTGAAAATCAAAATAGGGAATTGAGGGAGAAGTGGCAAAATATAAAAGGGACTGTGAGAATCCGCTCAAGAACCTCTCCAGGCTGGGTGAATGGGCTTCAAAATGACAGAGACAATTCAGTGTAAACCATTATAAAGTGATGCACATTAGCACAAAATATCCAAAATTCATTTATATATGAATGGGATCAGGACTGCCAGTGACTTGATCAGGAAAGGGATCTTGGGGTTACAATGGACAGCTCAATGAAAAAGTCCATCCAGTGCTGCTGTTAAAAAAAGAAAAAGGCAATTTTACACTTGGAATCATTAGGAAAGCAATTGAAAATAGAACTGCAAATATAATAATGCCCTTATACAAATCTGTGGTGAGATCATAGTTGGAATATTGTCTACAGTTTTGGTCACCATATCTTAAGGATATTATAAAGCTATAAAAGATGCAATCAAAATAATTAGAGGGCTGGAGCAACTTCCCTGTGAAAAAATACTGTAGCAATTGGAGCTTTTTAGCATGGAACAAAAGAAGGCAAGAGGAGACATAATAGGGATATTCAAAATCATGCATGGCATAGAGAAGGCAGAAAGACAGAGATGTTTTTCTCCCTCTTTCACAGTGTTGGAAGTGAAGAAACAGAAGAAAATTATTTCTCACACAGCACTTGGTTAAACTATGGGGTATGGTGTCAGCAGTTATGGTTATAGTAGCCAATTTTGATGGTTTTAAAAAGGCATTGGATAATGCATGCCGTATCAGACAATCAGTGGCTACTAATAGGTCTGTATGGCTTAGAGCCTGGATATCTTAGAAATCAAACCTTTTTTATACAGTTTCTGCCCATCCCACCCAGATGGCCAGAGAGAACCAATTGAGAGTTCCCCCATACCTGGAGGTGTGATGACAGGGGCCCAACAACAGCCAATAATATTGATGGCTGTTTACTGCCTCCTGAATTTCCAGCAAGACCTCATATTGGTTGCTGGGAAGTAACTGCATAAGAGGACAATTGCTTTTCATACTAGACTTTTAAGCTTCCTAAATGTACCCAGTTGGCCACAGTATGACACAGAATGCTGGACCCAAACCAGCAGATATCTTTCTATGTTCTTGGATGGTCTCAGCTGACATAAGGGTAGAATTGTACCAGGGAAACTGTACCAGAAGAAAGAAGGGGATGAGAATTGAATGATTATGGCCAATTAACTTGGAAGAAGTCAAAGGGCAAGGGAAATAATCAAGCAACAGGTATATGCTTTTTTTCCTTTTTTAATTATGATCCTAAATCAGCAGCAGTTTAAACTATATTATTTATATGTCCAATCTCTTGCAGTTTAATTGAACTCTGAATGTGCATTTAACTGGCTGAATATGGAAACAGAGATGACCTGGAATTTCATAGCTGCCATGACAGCCATAGGCTTACTCCCAGGTCATCATGGGCCCTACTCCATGGATCTGGCATTTATTTTAAAGCAATTAATGTATGATGTGGTGGAGTGAGGACATTCCTAGCAGTCCTTTATCACTGACAGATCAATTTCTGGTGACCAGTTCTGCACAGAGGAAGGACCTATTAAAATTGCCCCAGAAATCTTATGGAGTCATCTGGGTCACTGCTGTGAGATGCGAGGCTGTATCAATTGTTTAAACAAACAAACAAAAAAACAAACAATCTGCTGGTTATTACCTAGTTATATAACCTGCTGGTTATACATCTGCTGGCTATTACCTGGTTATTTTAACCTGCTGGTTATAAAGGCTTATATGGTTTAGGGCTTTGATACCTTGAAGACCCCATAAAGAATATGCCCATCCAATACAAACCACAAGAGAGGGCACATTGCAAGCCCCCACTCTGGAGATGAGTGGGAGACCAGAAATTAGCCTTTCTGTGATAGTTCCACTCTCTGAAATACTCTGCCCCACCCCTGAAGTTGGGATGGCTCCCTCCCTTTTAATATTCATGAGGACAGTTAAAACACTGTTCTTCCACAAGTTCTTTGGGGAATAAGTGTTATGTCCAAGTTAGAAGTAGGCTATCTAGTAAGTTTTTATAAGAGGGTTTATGTTAAATTGTTATCTTTTTTAATGTTAATAACTGATCTGCTGGTTTGGTAATTATTGTTCCTTATTCTATTGTGGTTGTTTTATTGTACTACTTGTAAGCCACTTAGAGTCTATGACTGAAACAGCATACAAATTTTATAAATACATGAAAATAAATAAAATAAATATATTTTTAGAGTGTTTTATGTATCAAGTCAGAAATAACCACCAGTGAATCCAATGGAGCTTACTTCCAGTAGACTTTCAGGGCCCATACATATTATTATCAGACTTTATTAAAATGTCATGTTAGTGTATTCAAAATGTTACTCTGGCATGAGATTTTCTATTACAATGAATACATAACAATAAATATAAAACTATCTCACCTTATTATAATGAATAAGATTCCACCGCTTATCCATTAAAAAATAGTTGGAAGACTGGGATTCAGGTATGTTAAAAAATTCCAGACACTCCTAGCACATAAAGACATAAGCATAAGCTAATATTGGTTGATCACATGTTCTTCATTTCAGAGAGTGATTGATTTTAAAAGTATTCTCCTCAGGCAATTGTGGCTATATCTCTGTTCCCTGCCCATAAAGATGGAATCTTAATAGAAATAGGCTATCAAGCTTTGCAGTGCTACTAAGGCAACTCTTTGTTAATTAGTGATACCAGTTATGATTGTAACAGGGTTCTTTAAGTCCACTGTCATCTTGAATTAATTTCCCAAGTCACAACTGAAAGTGATATAATAAGCCTACTTCATATAATAGGCCTATGGAAATGAGGCTGTTGGGTAATTAAAAGTGCAATAATTTACTAGCTAACTAACTCTTAAATGTTCAGCAGTCAAAGTCACTGATGATAGGTCAGCCATGTAACTCTCCTGTTTACTGTGTGTATCAAGTAATTTATAAGATGAAAGTTACAGGAGAATTACAGGTATGATAATCCTATTCACACAGATGTAAAGAAGCTACTAAATCAGGCTTTCAATAGATAGTTTTCTCCTTGTGAAGCACCTAATTCATAGAGATGTACTGGAGGCCAGACCTGTATATTATGTTAAAACATTTCCTCTCCTGCAACATGAGGAGGTTAATGAAGGAGCTTTAATACTGGAGGACTGGAAAATAGACAAAACATTTTTCAGAATTATTTTAATAATTTGCAAACCTTTAAAAGAGCTTCAAACTGAGTGTCTTCATGGACTGGTAGCTGGGTTGGGATATCACATTCATTCTGGCCATGAACTACTAGGGTCTTGGTGCCTTTAAAAGCAATAATATAATAATATAACAAATGTTTGTTTACAAAAAATATGATGAACTTTTGGAACCCTGTGTTTGCCTACAGAAATAAAAGTAAATTACTTTATGACTTAGTGTTCCTCCAAGTTGCTCAGGATATTTTTGATGGTTTTCATCCTATCACCATTTTTGGTTCTGTGCAGTACAGTTCAGCTGAAAAAGAGTGACTGTACCACACAGGGATATTCAGACAGCCTCATGCCTCACTGGGAATTTGAACTTTTCTCTCTCTCTCTTATCATGTCCACCATTGTAATATTATGCCATGCTGGCTTTCGTGCACATGCAAAGCTCTTTTTTCAAGCATGTGGATATAGCTAGGAAGAGAAGGTAATCCAATTCAGGTTGTTATTGCTAAATTTACAGCAGTCTTTGTTATTAATATAGAGGAGATTCTGAAAATAACTATGGGGACTTCATGCAGAATATGATTTTCAAGAACACAGGTTGTTTGTTTGTTTGTTTGTTTGGCTTGCTCCTTCAAATCAAAAGGAAGATTTTCTGGATCACTGTTCTTTTATCCATTCTATGGAGCCTATGCAAGGCATGTATTGCAACTTATGGAGTCTTTTATGTAAAACTCTTCTTGGTGATAGTCCTGGCTGATTACAAAATTATATCCATTAACACAAACCACTTCCTAGAGTTCTAACTATTGGTATCCTATTGTAGCTCAAAGATTATTATGCAGGGAGGGTGAACCATGATGTCAGTTCCTTATACAGTATAAGCCCAGATCACAGCATGTTATAGCTGATGCAATCCATTTGCTCCATAGAGTTGGAGAAGGGCAGCCAAAGAAATTGCCCATCACTGTCTCACCAAATATTTGATGAATTTTTTAGTTACTAAGGTTGTTGTTTTTTTTAAAGCTAAACATTTTTTTAAAATAAAAGCTAAATGTAAGAGTTTGGCCTGCTGGTATAAGGGCTAAAAGCCAAGAATAAAACAGGACACTTATTCAAGCAAAGGTTTTACTCACATTTAAAAATCCCTTTCAGACTTTCCCTTTCGTATAGGAAAGTCAATGACAGGCAGAAATGACGATACTGAGTCTAGGGTTTACAACCCACAAGTTCTCTCCCCTCTCCCCTTTTGCTCAGTTTAGAAAATGATTGGGCAGAAATATATCACTATTATAGTTACAGAAGTAAAGGTCACATACCAGCAAAAAGCCCCCAGGAGAATAAAAATAGTGCCTTCCATACCTGGCATTGAGGCAGTAACCAGCAGCTTCACTTCACATTGTTCCTTCTTCATAGTTTGTTTGAGATCCTTGAAGAATAGTCCTTCTACGTAGCCCACTACTTCCCAAAGAAAGGTCAGAGTGGCCGAAATGGCATCCATGCCCCATTCACATGGTGTGCGCACAAAATACATGATCAGTCCCACCTGTGAATCACAAGACACACACTCTTTATTCCAACCTGTAACAGGAGCTAAGTAGATGGCCAGTGATAAATATGAAAACGTGTAAGGTTGAGCCAGTCTTTCTCTGTCAGTAACTGTAGTTTGTGCATTGAAAGTCTGGGTAGCTATCCCTGCCAAAGGAAAGTATGGAATAATTTACAAACTTACTTAAAATAACATGATTGAATAAAAAAAACAGAAGACTCCTATATCATCAGCCTCACTTTTATCTTCTCTAGAAAATACAAATGACCATCTTTCTAAAGCATACTTCATTCTACAAGCAGGGATACAGTGAAGCAAACCTACTGAAAAAGTTTGCTAGGGAATGTTATGGCGAGATAAACATTAAGGCTTGTGCAAATCCTTTGAAAGAGGTGCTCTGTAGTGCGTGGGAACAAAGCACCTGTCTTCAAATCACTAATGCAACTACATCTTTTTTCAAGTTAATGAGGTTGCTTCAGAGCCTCCTCCCAGCAGTCTCTGCATGTACGTTCGTGCAAAGCCACTTTGCTTGGGTCTCAGCAGAATGAGAAAATTAATATATATTTTTTGATCAATCAAATGGAACTTCATGAAGAGTAGGAACCTTCTCCAGTTTCACAGTGTCCACTGCTAATTTTTGCAAAGAAGAGTAGAGAAAGCAGGATAGGCAATCTGGTGGAACTGTTGCATTCTATTAAAAAAGGAGTATTACTATACAGCATTAAAAAATTACAGCTATTCAACTTAGAATGAATGTAGACTAGAATGTCTGATTCTGATTTCTAGGTCTAGAATTTGTAACAGTGTCCTGAATATTAGAAGGAGGACATAACATTTCATGGTTTAATCTACTTTCAAAGCAAAAATGTATTAGATGTCTTCCTGTTCATCAATATATTTTCCTGATGCAACAAGCACCACCAACAATAAACAGTTTCTGAGGCTACCTCTACTAAAATACAATAAAAACAATAAAAAAATTAAAAACAATTAATACTGAAGTGGGGAGATGAGTAATATTAAAACACTAAACCAGTGATGGCGAACCTATGACACGTGTAAAAGGTGACATGCTACGACGTTTTGGGTGACACACCAGCATTCACCAACACCCAACAACAACTATTCTCCCTGTCTGAGTTACCAAAGAAACTAAATTTGTTTTACTCGTATTTCATTTTTGTAATTATTTGACGCTTCTCTCTATAATACATAGCACCACACATGATTGGACTGTATTTTTTAAATAAATGAATATGTAAAGAATTGCCTCTCTTTTGTTCAGGGTTGAGGGTGGTGACACGCCGGCAGAGTCAAGTTAGGTATTTTCTGAATTTTTGACACGCTGAGCCCAAAAGGTTTGCCATCACTGCACTAAACCATTAAAAGGCTTTGGTGAGTAAGTATGCTGTTAGCCCACTCCTACATTCAACTCCAGAGGCAACTTTTTCTATAACATGAGCTCCACTACCAAAAAAGAGAATTAACCATTGAGGTCAAATACATTCATGGCAGGGCCCACACCAGGTACCCAGTAATGACTGAAGACAGATAGATGAGCTATAGAGCAATCAGCAGACCTGTAAGAAGCTTGAATCTAAGCTGTATAAGACTTTATAGATCAACATGAGACCCCTGAACTGGTCTCTCAAGGCAACTGGCAACTACTGAAGCTGTTTCAGAGGGGTTACTTGAGACATTCAAGAGGCACCACATCACCCATGCTGCAGTTTCTAGACTACCTTCAAGGGCTATCCACAAAGTGCATTGCAATAAACCAACCAGCACATGAGTCACCAAAGTCAGGTCACTTTTCCCCGATAGGGATCCACCTAGTTTATTAGCTGAAACTGATAAAATACCCCCCTTGGCACTGAGCAATTTTCCATGGGTCCATTGTTGATGCAGGATCCAGGGGAACCCCCACTCTAGGCTGCAGACTAGGCATTTAAGAAACTGCAACCTCATCAAGAAGAGATTGACAATAATTGTTTCCTTAAAAGGTATGTTATGAGTTAGTAGAAGATCATCGCTAAAGGTGAGCTGTGAATTGAGAAGGACCTGGTTTGAATTTTTTCTAGACACCAAATAGGTGGCACTTCCCTCTTTCATAGAGAAAAAGAGTATAAAAATACTTTTTTAGGAGTTTGTTCTAAAGGTTACAAGAATATATTGTGCACTAAGCTCCCTGAGCAGGGGACATGGTGGCGCAGCGGCTTAATGACGCTGAAAGTTGCCAGCCAGAAATGGTCGA